CTTCTCGTCAGCGCCCAGCAGTGCTGAGTGTACGAGGGGGGCTGGCCGAGGGGGGAGGCGCCAGCGGACACTGGGAGAAGAACAACACGTCGTCCTCGTCCTCCTCCTCCTCGTCCTCCTCCTCCTCCTCCTCCTCCTCCTCCTCCTCCTCGTCGCCGGCGTCTTTGTCGCCGTCGCTTCGCTTCTTCGGTAGAGGAGGAACAAGCGCCATAAGCATAAACTTTTGGTGCTCCGCGCGCATCCTTGGATCCGCGCTGGACCCCCCTGGCGCGCGGGGCGCGCCAGGGGCGGCAGCGGAGGCGCCGCCGGGGGGGAGCCAGCGCGGATCCAAGAAACCCTCGCGGAGCGCCAAAAGTTCATGTTTGTGGTAGGTCGGGCATGCCCTCCTACAGGCGGCTTTTGGACGAAACGTGAAAAATAGTCCAGACATCCCCAAGCAGAATCAAACAAATAATATAAGCATCGTTCCCAGACTATGTTTGAACCATTTTTGACTACATTCTTCCTGTAAAGGGACGTGACCGACTCAATGCTTGTGGCGTCTCTCCTTCTTCCCGACATAGCATGTGATCGGTTCGTTCGCCGAGGCTCGAGCCCCACACGGGGGTCGGCGACTCCGAAGGGTGTGGTTTGCAGAGGGTGTGGCTTGCAACTGGCACCCTGGGGGCACGGGTGCGGGCGAGGACCTCGACAGAGCTCTCCGCCGCGCCCCGAGGAGGCCCGACGAGGACGGTGCCGTGCTCCCCCTGACCCCGACGGTGCCGATCGCGAACCACACCCCCGGCGCAACCATACCGTGTGTAGTCGCCGAAAAGGGGGGGGGGGGGGGGGGCGCTCTCCGCGAAGGTTGCCGGGGGTCCAGCGGGTCCACGACGAGCCGTCTCCGCCAAGAGCCGCCCGGACGGAGGGAGGCCCCGAGAGCGCCGCGGGCCCGCGGGCTGCGCAGGGAGCCGCCCCATCAAGAGGAGGACAGGGACGGGGCAGCCGAATGAGAAAGGGGGGGGGCAGAGACGAGGAGGGGGGGCGGGGACGAGGAGGAGAGGGGAGACGAGGAGGGGGAGGGGAGGCGAGGGGACGAGGAGGGGAGGAGAGGCGAGGATGGGAGGGGGGAAAGGCGAGGGGAGGAAGGGCAGGGGAGAGACGAGGAGGGGGAGGACTCTGCTGTGAGGCCAGGCGGGGGTCCGTCCACATCCCACCGCCTGGGGAGCCGACCTCCTGGGGCGCCACCCGCGGGCGGTGGACGTGGATGCGTGTTGGCCCCCGAGGGGGGGGGGGGGGGGGCGGCGCATTTCTCCATACCCGCCGCCCGCACATAGGGGAACGAGGACCATGCACGTACACCGATTCTGGCGCCAGGCCCATCCTGAGCCCAGGATCGGTGCATGCGCCCCCCCCAACCCTCGCCAGGAAGGCACGTGCACCGGTCCTGGGCCAAGTGTGGGCCCTGCCAGGATCGGTGCATGCTCCTACACGTTGTTCGGTTCTAATCTTTTTTTTTGTAATATATAAAAACAGACAAAAAAGGTGCTCGTTTCTAATTGTTCCTGGACCCATAGTGGCCAGGAAGAGGCCCAGGATAGAAGAATTAGAAATGAGAGGATCTTGGCCCCCCAGAAAATTTAAGAACTTTCTGATAATTAATTAGAAATGAACAATGTGTACTTATCTTCGCCCGAGCACGGATCCCTGAAGGAGCGATCCCCCAGGCGGTGGCTGTGGCCAAGCCCCCGCCTCAGTCAGATGTGTGCACTCCACGGGATTGGGCGCGGACCTCGGGGGCCGCTGCAGCACGAGGACCCTGAGCCAGCAGCTGGCCGCAAGTGGTCCCTGCGCGGACGCCGCGCTCTCGAGGGGTCCCGCCTGGAGACCGGCCCCGCTCGCAGCTGCCGCTGCCGCTGCCGACCGGCTGCTGTCCATGAAAAAAGGTGAGGTCGCCCTGCGAGTACGGTAGGTTCGTGTCGTGTCAACCCCGGCGTTGGTTTCCGACACGGCGCTGGATCGCTCAACCTTGCTAGACCGGCCGTTTCCGAAACGCTCGATCGTTCACCATCGACCCATTCTGGGCCGCCGCCGGCGTTCGAAGTGGAACGCCCGCGGCGGGGCCGCCGCCGGTCGACGCGACGCGAACCTGCCGCGACTCCGCTCGCAGCCGACGACGTGCACGATCGTCTGGCTGCTCCTCGCCCCGGCAGGCCCTCGCCAGGACTGGCCCCGCACCTGCACGCAACGGGACAGAGCGCTCTGTCCGGATCCGTCCGGTCAGTCCCTGCTCCCGACCCGCATCCCGCCAGAAAAAGGCACTGGTGGCCTACTGTCCATGCCGGACCCCGATTCTTGGGAAACTCAGAATGGAATTCTGGTGTGCTCGTGAAATCTGGGCTCCAGCCACTAAAATGCCAATCCACTATGGACGGATTTCGGCCACGGCTCAGCCGCGCCCTCCGCTGCAGCCTGCCACGGCATCGGCCGTGCGCACCTGTGGCTCGGCGGCCCGCCCGCCTCGGGTGGGGCTGCTGCCTGGATGCGCATTCTGCGCAACACTTCACTGAAGGGGCCCAGAGCCACACAGCTAAACAGACACAAGTACCACGATTCCACATATTTTAAACTGTTTCCTAACCAGTGGAGTGCTCCCACGGACCCTCCCACACGTTGACCGAGGCGCCCCCAGCGCCGATGCGCTGGACGTCTGTCGCTGTGATGTGCACGTCCGAGACGTCCACGAACACGAGGACTCTGAACATTCTTCCCGGAGCGGGTCCTGTCCACACCACCCCGTAGTGCAGCTGTGGCTTTGGCTCCCCCCCTCCAAGTGGGCAGCAAGCATCTGCCCAAGAGATCCTGTGCGGAGCAGCATTAACAACTGCAGCGAAGACGGCCACACAACCAACATCGCTGCAGCTGGCGATGCAACCAACACCGCCGCAGCCGCAGCCCCAACCATCTCAACCTACAGGCGACTTGCAGGGTCAGCACCATGCCCCCCGAAGCATCCAGGTTGGCCCCACGACTTCCATCACCAGCACTCCTCCGCCAGGCAAATTAGCTTCGCTATATTGCCGACACAAAGGCCACAACGGTCGACGGTGTACCAAAGCGTACTTCGCCTTCGCGCACGCATGGCAAATGTGGGTGTCGGCAAGACCCGCTTCATACTGTGGCCGCGCTTGCGGCCACTGACCACCCACTACGTGACATCAGCTTTCGTCAGCTTGACCTTGGTGAGGATCTTGATGACGTCGGAGATGGGCTGGATGACGATGCCGCCCCAACGATGGTCGAGGCCGCCAGGCCGACACAACCAAATGGTAATTTACATTATGCGCTCTTCCACGCACCGCTCGATTGCCGATGCTGTCCTCAAGGCGTCTCGGTGTCCGTCTCGGTACGTGTCTGTAGCGGCAGGAGTGGTCAAGCACGAGCAAGCGACGCCCGTCGCAATGAGATGCTGAAATTCCTTAGCCACTGCCACCCTTTCAGCCGAAAGGCGGGGGGGGGGGGCGGCATAACAAATCATTGCTTTAGCACGGCGTGGTTATTCTTCATCATGCGTGAGCCATATCGTCGCGCGGGCGGCTGGCCACCCGTTTCTGCACATATCGGCCATTGTGGCTCCCTCGGGGCCCACGACACTGGTCCATGGAAGGCAGTGCGTACGATGCCCGCGGCGAAGGGAAGGACGAACACATGAGACGCTCGAGCATCGCAGCGCGGCAGAGGCGATCCGCACGCGCGCGCTCCACCTGGCCGGGAGCGGGCCAACTGATTGTCTGGCAGCATGAGGCGCAAACTCTGGACAAGGAACCACTGGACAAGGAATGCAGTGTCTGGAAGCAGGTGGAACACCGACCGTGGATCGGCCACGGCCCATGGCTGTCACCGCCGCCCTCATCGAGGAAGGAGTCCTCCCAGCCCGCCGTAGGAGGCGGCAGGAGGAGGCATGGGGCAGGAGGAGGTGTGAGCTGGCACGCGTCAGGTAGGCGGAGGGGGTGGGGCGAGGAATGGGGGGGGGAAGTGGGAGGTGGGAGGCGGGATGCGACGGGACGAGCTGGGAGGGAGGACGAGGCAGGAGGGGGACAGGAGGCAGGAGGGGGCAGGAGGGGGGCAGACGGCAGGCGGAGGCAGGAGGGGGCATGGCGAGGCGGGAAGGCGAGTGGCCCGACGAGCTCGGCGAGCGCGGGCGCCGCGGCGACCGCGCCGCCCGGCGGCTCCGACGGCGCGGCGGTCCTGCAGCATCACCTCGCAGTGGCCCCTTGGCTCGCGCGCGGGGCAGGCCGCGGCGGGCCCTGCGGAGGGCCCCGGGCAGTCCCCCGGCCGGGGGGGGGGCGCGGCTGTGGCCCTCACGCCCCCCCCCCCCCTGAGGGGAAGCCGGCGCCTCGACGATCTCTCGAGGGGTGCCTCGAGCCCGGTGGGCCTCTCACGAGGGGTGCGTATGAAGCCCCCCTCCCGGGGGAACCCAAGAGCCCCGAGAGGGGTGTGGAACGCGACGGGTCTTCCAGGCAGGTATAAGGGCCGCAGCTCCCCTGGTTCTGGCTCGTCTGCGGAGCACCCCCGGCCCCCAGGCAGAGCCCCCTGGACGGATGAGCGGAGGGAGGAGGATGAGATCTGGCTTGGCCTGGACTGGGGTAAGGAACGCGCCCCTGCTCCAATCAGCGGATTGGCCTGGAGCAGTCTGGAAGGGGGGCAGAGGCCAAGTCAATATCGTAGCCAGCCTTCCTTCGGTCGTTAAAAGTTAGACCCTCTCCTGGGCACGGCCACCGCGGGGGAGTTGGGTCTCGTGGCCGAGGGTGGCCGTCTGGCGGCCCACCTGCTGCTCTGCCTTCCCACGTCCCACATGCCGTGCTCTCTTTTGCTAGGATAGGCGGCGAACCCGAACGTGTTGAGAAATTCCGACCGACCGAGGAGAAAGAGGACAAGACAATACAATGCCGGTTGCAAACCAACGGTCTGATATAATGCCCCCCCGCCTGACCACCACGAAATGCCCCCCCGCCTGACCACCACGAGGACTGCGAGGACTAGGAGGACCATGGGGGACCCACTTCAGGTCAAGGCGGCGGCTCGTCCTGCATATTGCGCTCAATGGGGCCCCTATGGCTGGTCCCTCGGGCACTCCCCCATTGTCAAAGAGGCCCACGCTAAGATGTGCGGCCACTCGGGACTGGAGGAGACGCATGACGATGACGATGACGATGACGATGATGATGATGATGATGATGATGATGATGATGATGATGATGATGATGATGTGATGATGATGATGATGATGATGATGATGATGAGGAGGAGGAAGAGGAGGGAGGAGGAGGAGGAGAGAGGAGGAGGAGGAATAGGAGGAGGAGGAGTAGGAGGAGGAGGGAGGAGGAGGAGGAGGAGGAGGGAGGAGGAGGAGGAGGAGGAGGAGGAGGAGGAGGAGGAGGAGACTGAGGAAGGAAGCAGGAGGAGGAGGGAGGGAGGAGGAGGAGGAGGAGGAGGAGGGAGGAGGAGGAGAGGAGGAGGAGGAGGAGGGAGGAGGAGAGGAGGAGGAGGAGGAGGAGGAGGAGGAGGAGGAGGAGGAGGAGGGGGGGGGGGAGGGGGGGCGACGCGCCGCGCCGCGCTACCTCGCACTGCACCCCCCCCTGGACCTCGGGAGCCTCGGGCGGCTGGAGGAGGACGGCTCCACTCTGGGCGAAGCGAGCCGGAGTGGGCCTCAGCTGCCCCCATGGTGCTGGGGCGTACGCTGGGTCGCCACCTGCACGCGCACACTGGCCGCTGCAGACAGCCTCCCCCGCTCACCTCCCCCCCCCCTCTGTATGCTAGCAGGTATTCGTCATCCTGTTCCTCGCCTGTCTCTTCCGCCACCTCTTGCTTCTGTTTCCCCGCCCGCTGGCGCTGGCGGCGGGAGCGGTGGAGGGCCGCACCCGTTTGGGGAAGCAAATGCCCGAGGCTCGAAGCTCGAACGAGTAGGGAAAGGAGGTACGGAGGAGCAGGCAGAGTAGGAGTAGAAGGGAGGAAGGGAGGCCATGGTGAACGAAAAACGATAGGGAACGAGAAGGTAGAAGAGGCAGGAAAGAGGTAGGAAGTGCGAGGAGGAGGAGGAGAAGGAGGAGGAGGAGGACGAACATGCTAAACGAGAACAGTGTTGAGCGACGGCGGAGGACGAGAAAGAGGAGGCGGAGGAGGATGAAAAAGGATAAGGTATGAGGAAAGAGGCGCATGGGGAGGGATAGGCAGAGTGCTGGAGACAGGAAGAGGTAGGGGGAGAGGTGCTCACGATGATGCTGATGACGGTCATGATGATCATGGTGAGGCGGAGAAGGAGGAGGAGGAGGCGGAGGAGGAGGAGGAGGAGAAGGAGCAAGAGGACCAGGAGGAGCAGGAGGGGGAGCAGGAGGAGCAGGAGGAGGAGCAGGAGGAGCAGGAGGGGAAAGAGGAGCAGGAGGATGATGAGGAGGAGGATTAGGGGGAGTGTCATGAGTGTCGTAGATCCAAGAAGTGAGCGGCGAGCGAGGCTCAACCGTCACCCTCGGCCTCCCAGACAGGAGGAAGGGGCCCGCAGGCGCCAGCACCGACGGTCAGGGGAAAGGCAGATACCTCGTCGCTCAGCGACTCGCTGCCCAACCGAAACGGCGTGGTGCGTAGGGGGACAGCCGGTTCACCGCGTCATCGCGCAGTACTTACCGACCGTCACCCCTGCCGAATCGGATGGCATGTGCAACTGGGTTTGTACCGTGCCCCAGGGTGAGCGGACACAAGGTCCCAAGGGACTTACGGACCACATGGCCCCGCCTCTCGACCAACTGCACACTCCCCGTGCCTGGTACCCATCTCCAAATCACGGGCGCAGCTAACGCGCCGCTGCCACGGGCAAAGTGCCACGTGGCTGGTGCAAGAACGACGAAAGCCGGTTTATCTGCCCCCAGCCGCCGCATGCAATTGACACTGACAGTGTGCCCCGAGGAGTGTGTGGCGCTGACACCATGAGAACACGTGCCAGGCCCCCACCCTCGGGGCGGAGGATTAGGGGGAGGAGGAGAAGGAGGAGGAGGAGTAGGAGTAGGAGTAGGAGTAGAAGTAGGAGTAGGAGTAGAAGTCAAGCTAGCCAGCTCGAGCGAGTCAAGCATGGCATGCCCAGTCCCACCCGCCCTCCCACAACATAAGAAGCAAAGCTGGCACAACTGGGGCCGAAGTCACACCGGCCAGCCGGTTTGGTACAGCTGATGCGGCCGCGATGGCGGTTGCCGACGGGAACTGGCGAGCGCGTGTTGAATGCCGCGCACGCATTGCCAGACGAGTTTGGATGGGCGGGATGTGTGTGGGCGGGGGGTGTGCGCCGCGTCCCATGGGACGGATTGGATGGGCGGGCGCGGGGTGTGCGCCGCGTCCCATTCCTGCCATGCATTTTGCGACGTGGACGACAGGACGTCCATGCGACGGTGCCAATGACGGCGACGACTCTAGAAGGATTTGAGCATGCGCTCGCGGCGACGCGCGCACATGTCGCCCGCGTGGTATTTTTTG